ATTGTCTCAGTCAACAATTGGAAAGAATCACATAAGATTGTATGAATGAGAATGTAATTCATATGATTTAGTGCAAATAAATAGAAAAATAATCTTTAAAGGGTGTAGAGTTAGAGGAATTTAGAGTTACAGGCTAAAGCCCCCAACTTGGTTTAATCTTTAGGTTCTGATACGAGATGTTAGCCCCCAAGTGGAGGGAATCGAGGGAACTCTAAAATGAGAGCTGGTATCTTCTCTGTCTAGCCGGTCTTCAGAACTATTCAAACTTTAAATTAGTCAATATTCTTTATAGCATCTCTAGTAAGGGTAAAGAATAATATTGCTCATATTTGGCACAACACATTTTGCATACTTTAACAACAGAATTCCTATACTTATTACTGATTCATGATAAGGAGAAAGTTATTTCATATTCAGTGCTTTTCTTTTACATAAACTCAAGTTTACTTTAGAAGTTTTTATTGTTTTGTCAAAATATCAAAAATATTAAAAATAATTGAATTTTACCTACTGTAAAAATAACTATAGTTTAAGTAATTATCTTTTTGAAATAGAAAGTTTGTTATTTAAAAGTGCATATTGTGAACAATTCCTGTGGGTTCGATATTTGGGGATTAATCAAAAAGCTCTACATTACTTGGTAACGATACGTATACTTGCGTAGTATCCCAATATATATAAATTGAAAAGTTAAATTCTTATTTTCTCCAGGATCAAATTTTTGGTACTATTATAGAGCAAGGAAATATAAGTAAAAAAATAATCAAATGCGTTGTTGTGCTGTTGCACTTAAACAGTCGGGATCAAGTTTTTGGAGTCGTTGCAGAGGAATTGATTGAAAGCAAATTTCTATTTTTTAAAAGTCTTATTTAAACTTTAGGAGTTATTGTATGGATATATTATTATAATATTTTATTTTTGTGTATTTTATTTGATTTTATGTTAGTGTATGCGTTGTTCAGGTTCTGAAGGACTAGTGCCCTACGATCCTGAATTTAAAAGAATTGTTAAAAAAAGAAAAAGCAAAAAAATTAAAAATTTTAAAAAATCTAAAAAAATTATAGAAATGGCAAACCAAAATGATCAAAATGCTAAAATACATTGGGAATTTAGACCTTTACGAGATTATGTCAATCTTATGGTAGATGAACTTCATTGTAGTATTCAAAAACCTACTGTGGTGGTTAATTCATTTTAAATCAAACCTGTTATTGTTCAAATGGTATCAAATAATCAGTTTAATGGATCACGAACTGAAAATCCAAATTTACAACTTGCCAATGTTCTAGAATTGTGTGCTACATTTAAATATGATGATGTATCATATGATGTCATAAGACTTGGGTTATTTCCTTTCTCACTGAGGGATAAAGCTAAGATGTGGTCGAATTCATTAGCACCTGAATTTATCAAAACTTGGGGTGATTTAGCACAAAAATTCCTTGTTAAATATTTTTCACCATAAAAAACTGCAAAGCTTAGAAATGATATTACATCTTTTAATCAGTTTGATGGGTAATCTATTTATGAAGCATGAGAATGATATAAAGAACTCTTCAGAAAGTGTCCACACCATGATATACCAGATTGGTTAATAATTCAAATTTTTTATAATGGATCAGCTGGGTCTCTTAGATCTATTATCGATGTCACTACTAGTGGTTCGTTGATGTCAAAACCATTTCATGACACATGCTTTAATTGAAGAAATGACTACCGATAATTTTCAATGGTCTTCTGAGAGGGTGAACCCAAATAAAGTAGCCAATATTCATGAATCTGATGCATTTACTATGTTAGCAAATTAAGTTGCTACAATTTCAAGGAAGTTAGACCAATTTGGAATGAATTTTTCTCAACCAATTTTGATGATTGAAGAGAATTCATTATGAAAAATGGTAGATTCTCAAACATCATTAAAAACTTTGAATAACATAAATAACAAGCAGAATAACATATATTCAAATTATTATAACTCAGGTTGGAAGAACTACCCAACTTCAATTGGAATAATACTACGGGTGGTAATAATCAGCAATGGGGGAACAATCAAGTAAACTCATTGGGAAACTGGAACAACCAAGAGAATAATAATTATAGATCTATTTATTATTCAAGTTTCAATAGTAATCAACCATTTAAAGAGAAGAATTTATCTATAAAAGAAATTGTGTTACAAATGGGAAATCAGTTACAAAGTCAAGGAGCTACAATTAGAAATATTGAGAATCAACTTGGACAAATCACAAATTGATTAAGTAATAGATCCCAAGGAACACTTCCTAGTAATACTAAAATAAATCTA